TTTTTTTTTCTTTTAAAAATTTTGTAAAAAAAAAAAAAAACCGTTGTAAAATTTCGTATATTATTATTTTATTGAAAAATGTGTAATTGATAAGAGGTGAGAGAAAAATAAATTATAATTTTTATGAAAGTCAAACATGCATTAGTAATTAAAACAAACTTCTAAGTTTATTGTAGAGATAATTATTCTTGACACGGATTGGGCCGACGTGCAGCATTATTCGTATTCCTTTTACTAATACGAAGTTTTATTATGAATCTCTTGACCTCATGTCATCGAACTTGCTCATTAATGATTAATAAAACCTGGTGAGAAGCACTCATTTAGCCTTGATCAACATTGTTGTATCGATTGTTCACTTGAAACAAAAAGCAAAGAAGATTTAGTTATGATGCATTTTATACATACATTCTTACAAACAATTTAATACTCATAATCTTACTATTTCATGATTTGAACTCTTTTCTTTTGGTGATTTTACACGTTTTTGCCATGTTAACAAGCTTATCATGTAAAGGTCATAGTTAAATATTAGATAAAATTAGGGGTGAACATGATTTGGTTTGATCGGATACTGAAAAGAATTAAATCGGACCGAGTATCAATTAGTATCATGAAAATGGAACCATTTGTTCCATCTCTAAGTACGAAATAGAACCAAAATCGAAACATTCAATTTTAGTCCAATTCGATTCCTTGTGTTTAAGTACTCAAATTTACTAATCCATAAATGAAGTGTCTAACTGTACAAATTTCTTAAGTTATAAGCGTTTAAATTTTCCTTAATCCATTCATTAGAACAATTTATATTGATGCTAATTTGATTTTTCATTTTAACTAAACATAACAATTTATATCAAATGATTACATACCGGATTGAACCAACAATAATTTTAAAAAAATTAATTTTTTTATTTAATCGATTTTTTTAATTCTTGAATAAGAACCGAAAACCGGTCGAGAATTGAATCAAAACCGACCGATTCTCAATTTTAATACCAAAACTCATTAGAGCTTGAGTAGAACAGACTGATCTCATTCTAGTTTGCTCCAATAGTTTGATGACTTTATTTATAATCAAGAACTAGCGAAATGATAGTTGGAACAGTCGAGTATTATTCATCGTACTCGTAGGAACAAATAACAGCAAAAAATCCCAGAATTCTTGCAAATGAAAGCGAGAAAAAGAATGATGTTTCCACAAAATGATACAAGCAAATAGTTTTACACAAATTAAACATATATAACATATAAATTAATAGAGAACTTTATTTAGGGAAAACAAAGTCCTGAACTACTACCTACCATCAGCACAAATCAATCGTCTTCTTCTTCAGGCCGAGCAATAGCCCACAAAGATAAAGATTAAGCAGAGAAAGATTGCCGGCTAAACTAATATTTATAACTGGGAAACAAATTGATGGTAACAAACAGCAGCTGCCAAGCCAAATTTCATCTTCTAGTCTGCTCTAGACTGACCAGCACGAGAAGAGAGGATGATGCCAACGATAAGGCCATAAAGAGCCAGCGCTTCAGCAAAAATAAGAATAAGAATCATCCCAACAAAGAGCTTTGGTTGTTGTGCATTGGCTCTGTAAAAAAGAGTATGATTAGGTGAGAGGAACTAAAATGATATATTCATCTCAGAAAAAAATTCCACTCCATTCCTATTTATTAGAAGTAGACAATTGAACCATTAATTGCAGGCCAGAAAGATAACAAAAACACAACATATTTTGTGTCTGTTTGAACCCCATTTTCCCTAAGAGTGTATTTTGGAATGGTAGAATGATGGAGAATGTGTGGTTAAAAAAAAAGGGAAACGCTTGGGTTTACGTATAATATTATTTTATTGAAAAATGTGTAGTTGAAATATGAGAGAGAAAAATGTATTTTGTAATTTAATGGGAATCGAACAAGAGCTGAATTAAAATGATCATAAACTTAAATGATCCAGACAAGAGTCATGGTCAGTTTTAACAAAGAAAAAGCAGAATTAAATTCATTCGGATCCCAAAAGTTCATTTGAAGAGACATAACATTTCAAAATTATGTCTCTTCTTGTTTGACTGGCTAGAAATCTCACATTATAACTTAAAAATTAAATGATATCAATTTAAGGTTGATTTTTCCTCCTGGAATCATGTTTGAAGTCCAAGGTTCTATGCCTCAAAGTGAAATGTAGATAAGAGTGTGTTTGAGTCACATTATTTTAGAAGAATGTATTTTGGAATAGTAGATTGATGGAGAATATGTTGTTGAAAAAGAAGAAAAAGTTATTGATGTGATGAAAAATATTATCTTATTGAAGAATGTGTGGTTGAAAATGAATAAGAGAATGAAAATGAAAATTTTAATGTGGCTGGGCTAAATAATATGCCTCAAAAGTGAAGGTTGTATATTCTCTACTTCAAAGGGAGAACTAGTAAACAGAAAAAAGAACCCTTCATCCACCAAGGAGCTAGAGAATTGCTCGCTTCTTGTTGGAGAGAGATGCATTAACTAATAAATTGGCCTCTGGTTTAAGAAAGATACTCCCAGTGGTTTTCAAATGTAAGTAATAAGCAAAAACAGATCCGGCAGTCACCTAGCAGTTTTACTTACTGTACAGATCATGGTTAC